TTCTTTCTTTCTTTCTTTTTTGAAGCAATGATTTATATGCAAGATATGAAGTGTTTCCATATCAATTCGGAACAAAGGATTCCCCCCCTTCCCGTCTTCCTCGTAATTTGTGAAGCCGAAGAAAATTATTTTATTAGGACTTTCTTTTAAATAACAGAAAGGGGATTTTTTTTTTTTTTACTGAGATGTTTTAACAAGATGAGACCAATAGTGTTTTATTTAAACGTTATTTCTCACATCTGTCCCTTTCTATTGTCCTTTCTTAAAAAGAAGCATTATTCTTTTAGGGAGAAATCATTTAAAAATAGAAATAATCCTTTTCTTCAAATCAGCTTTTTGTCCTTTAATAATTCTTCTCCTTGCTAGTACCTCCATTACTTCCCTCTTTCTTAATAGCTATGATTATTAATCTACACAGAAAGGTAAAACTGTTTTTAAGTATTTTTTAATAAGAATAGCCTTGTTTAAATGGATTGCTGGGTTAAACATTTTAGGGATCTCATTTCCTTCTCTTCATTCTGGAAAGCCAGCCTAAATTTTAAGGTATCACTGAGATTTTCCAGTAGATACACCTTTGCCAATGTCTAAGCCATTACCCTCAAATCTAAGCGAGTGAATGTTTTCTCCTCCAGCAAGCTTCTTTCTTTTAATGTCACCTTCAGTTTATATATCCTTGGCCTTCTCTTTTCTACCTGTGCTTTCTCTGGGATTCTCCCCAGTCTCCTTTTAAAAATGGCATTGTTAGAAAGGTGCCCGGTGTTAGAAAACCAATTTGTTCTCATACCAGAAACTTCTGCATTCGTTTGGCAGAAACAAAACCTGGGGACATTTTGATTGTTCTGGATTTGGGATGAAACAAACTCTAGATGAGGCAAGGTTGAGGATCAAAGCTACTCCTCACGGTTCTTCTGGGAGAGCATTCCCAGCATGGCACATTCTCTCAACTCCCTTTTTCCTGATCTTCCCTACTTTTCCATTCCCTCTTTTCCCCCCTCCCCTCAAATGTTGTGGGTGTCTAGAGTGGCACATCCCCTGTCTCTCAGGAGGAGAAGAAATACTGAGAAGATTATGGGTGGGCCAGTGGCTGAGAACTTCAAGAACATCAAGAAAGATGAGCTGATGGATTTGCGCCCCAGGAAACTGACTGGCCATTCCTCTTCTCCCCTCAGATCTTGTCACTACCATTCTTCTCCTTTTCCCCACATTTCCCTCTTCCCTCGAACCCCTGGAAGCCCCATTTCAGTCTGTGTTTGGTTCAGAACACCCCGTGTTGTCTGTGTACAGATGAAAAAGTGTGAAAAATGTGTCTCAGATTGGGTATGGACAGGTGCTCTAGGTGATGATGAAGCGTTCCATGAACATCTTATGAGGCCTTTAATATCCCAGGGATATTTCCAAAACAGTTTTTGGAAAGAATAGCAAAGACTGAAGAACTTTGGGTGTAATACTTCCAAACTGTTTTGGAAATATCCCTGTGATACGGATTGACAGAGTTGGAAGGGACCTTGTAGGTCATCTAGTCTAACCCCCCACCCCACCCAAGCAGGAGACCCTACACCATTTTTGACAGAGGGCAGTCCAGTTCCTTCTTGAAAGTTTCCAAGGCCTTGTAAGATACTCATTTAAACAAATGAAAGCAGAATGCAAATTGTCCTTCTGGTATTATTATCAATTCCTATACTTCAATCGGCATTAAAAATGAGTCACACTTTCTACTTTTGTAAGTCCCCCCCCCCCCAAGAAATGGATGAGCCTTATGCTGTTCTGTCCCTACCAACTGGAAACATGGTATTATTTATCTAAATTATTTTCTAAAAGGGCAAACTCTCCAGTTAATCTAATTGTATACTTGGCATCTTCTACAAAAATTGAGACTCTTGATTAAAGCACAGCAAACAAGTCTATGTTGCGTTTATTGAGCCTCTGTTCAGCTTTTGAGCTCCCATAACTTTGAATGATGGGAAAAGCTTAATAGAAGTAAGACAGTTAAAGAAATGTTCACGTTACTGATTGGACCTCACTTAAATTTACAGCTAAGGCAATTATATATAAGGTGTTCTCAAGGTATGGCTCAACCACACTAGAAAAAAGATGTTGAGACTCTAGAAAGAGTGCAGAGAAGAGCAGCCAGGATGATTAGGGGATTGGAGACTAAAACATGTGATGGATGGTTGCAGGAACTGGGCCTGGCTAGTCTAGTGAAGAGAAGAACCAGGGGATACAGTGTAGCATCTTCCAATAGTTGAGGGGCTGCCGGAGAGGAGGGGGTCATGCTGTTTTCCAAAGCACTCAAAGACCAGACAAGGAATAATGGATGGAAACTGATCAAGAAGACATTCAACCTAGAAATAAGGAGGAATTTTCTGACAGTGAGAACAATCAACCCATGGAACAGAATTTGCCTTCGGAAGTTGTGGGAGCTTCATCCCTGGAGGCTTTCAAGAAGAGACTGGACTGCCACCTGTTAGAAATGGTGCAGGGTCTCCTGCTTGGGCAGGGGGTTGGACTAGATGACCTACAAGGTCTCTTCCAACTCTTGTTAATCTGTAATCTCACAGTAGTCACTAATGCAGTCTTGCACCTTTCAACAGAGGGATAGTTTCGAGATCACATGATCTTTATGCTGCATTGGTGAAGCAACACTTGGAATACTGTTCTGGTCAACCATGATATAAAAAAATATGTTGAGATTCTAGAAAGTGTGGCGAGAAGCGTCACAAAGACGATAAGGCGTCTGGAGGCTAAAGTGTACAATGAACCATTGCGAGGTTCATGGTTCAATTATTCAATGGTTCATCGTACACTTCGCTTCAAACCAACTAGGTAGGTCTAGTATAACAAAGAGAAGAATTGGGGTGACATGGATAGCTGGTCTTCCAGTATTTGAGGCACTGTCATGGGGATGAGAGGGTCAACCTAGACTGCAAAGCACTAGACAAGAAGTAATGGAGGGAAGAATATCCAAGAGAGATCCAACCTAGAACTAAAAAGAAACTTCCTGACAATTAATCAGTGAGGACAATTATGGAATGGCTTCCTTTCAGAAATTTTGGATACTCCATCACTGGAGGTTTTCAAGAAGAGACTGGACAGCCATTTGTCTAGAATGGTATAGGATTTCCTGCCACAGGCAGAGAATTAGTCTAGAAGACCTTTGAGGTTATCCTAGACCCCTTTTCAAAGGCTTTCCTCATGAAATGGCACATGGCAAGCAACATTAGGTCACCAGTCTCGGATACGAATATTTAACAGGTATGATAATGATCTGGCAGGCTACACAAGCGAAAAATGGACTTTTCCCAGGTTTGTATTAAGGAATGCTGAATTTTCAGTGGTTGACTTCATTTCCAGTGTGATATGAAACTATTATTATTTTCCTAACTATTAATCTTTTTTATGTAGATGTACATTGCCTAACATAACTTTACCCCTGTAAGAAGCTCTACAGCTTAAGTATTTCATGACACTATAAACATTTCTTAATGTACAATGTACAGTGTTTTTTGACTTTTTTTTTCTGTTTGAATTACAGGTTTAAGATTTTTGCGAGCTCTTAGGCTGATTCAGTTCTCAGAAATCTTACAGTTTCTGAATATTCTTAAAACAAGGTAAGGCCACAATATACATAGATAAAATAGAGATAGGTAGAAATAGATAGATGATAGCCAGATTGTAGACAGACTGAAGGATTAGATAGATAGATAGATAGATAGATAGATAGATAGATAGATAGATAGATAGATAGATA